AAAAAAGATCATGGTGAATTTTTGTAACAGAGAAACCCAGACAAAAAAAAAACGAATCAGAACAAAAAGAGAAACGACAAGTTGTCCACATACTTCTCGTTGGAAGTGTGTGGCTTATTCGATGTGAATAAAGAGAGTTTATCAGAATAGTTGTTAAATCTTTTTGGTTTGCTCTGTTTTGTGAACTTGTTTTGGTTACTTGTTGCTTTGCTGTGTTTCTCTGTTTCTGTTGCCGCTGTTGTCTTTGTCTCTGCCACCGCCGCCGACGCCACAAGCGTCAACAGGTAAACGTAAACAGTCCCCACACACGCGGCCAGATGCCAGATGCCAAATGCCGCAGACAACAGCAAGAACCACAACAACAACAACACCAACGAGACACACCAAAGAGCCCAAGAAAACGCATGTTTGACATTTGTTATTAGCCAAGAGAGGGGAAGGGCTTGCATATTTTCTTGTGTTAATGCGCGTTGACGTGAAAAGCTTGTAAACGAAAAGTTTTCGAAAGTGCGGAAATCTCTTTATGAATGAAATGGGAACTACTCAAAAGACACGAGACACGAGACTGTGTCGATTGTGTTGTCATTTGATAAATAATCGGCTTTGACTTGACGCTAAAGATAAAGTTGAAGTTGAAAGTTTAGCAACCATCGAAGGGATCAAAAACAACAAAAAAAAAAAAGAAAGAAAGAAAGAAAAAAAACGCTGGTTGTCTCCAAGTGGTTGGCTACTGGTTATTAATGGATTTCATTTTTTGTGTTGTCTTCAGACTGTTCAAATTTGATTTGTTTGATTTGTTGACTTGCCATACAAATATACAAATTGTATATATGGGCAGTTATAAAGAGTTTGTTTCGATTTCGGTTCAAGAATTTCGAGTGAAGCAACTATTCTATTTTGTTGTTGATCGATTTTACTACACAATGCTTTCAATTCTGTGAATATTGCAAACTATATAATTCAATTATGCAAAAAATGTTTGATGGCTTATGCAAAAAATGTTCGATTAAAATTCCAAGCAGCTGCTCTTAAATAAAATATATTGGTTTCTCTTTTTACTCTATAATGTTGCGCACAACTTTTGTCAGATGCCATTTTAAATGATATTTATTGAGAAACTAGGTGCCACAAAATGTCGCTTCAATTATGCACCGCTTGAATGCGAGGCACTCCATAATGACTCAATTATGCAACACTTTTAACAATGACCATTGCAACATTGCATCGTTTTAACACTCGTTTGTTTATTTATGTATAGAGGCATTTCAATATATTTGTGCACAGGCCATTTATTAGATGAAATAAATTCACATTGCAAATATATTTTGTTGCTTGGTGTTGGTTTTATGGCACCCTAAAAAATTATTTGTATGTTGCACAAATTTCAATTTCAATCTCACTTAGTCCAGCGTCTGCTGCTGCTGCTGCCACTGCTGCCTGGCGGAAACAGGCCAGAGAAAATGTGTGTGCATAATTAATGCATATTTCACTTTAATATGCACACTTACACACACACTCACACACGTATACACTTAGCAACACACACGCGTACACAGACGCAGCAAGCGAGGCAAGCGAGGCAAAATGGCGACGGCTGTGCCGCCTTAAAGCAAAGATTTGTCATTAATTGTTGCACGCTGAATTCAATTTGCATGTGCAACTGCAACTTCAACTGCAGCTGTGTGCGTGTGTGTGTGTATGCACGCCTGTAGGTATGCAATGATAAGTAGTGTGTTTAATTCATTTTCATTATTAAAATATTTTTCTCACAATTGTTTAACTTGATTAAATTCGTTGGCTTATTTTTGTTGAATTTTTTAATGCAATTCTTTTATACATTTTTTTTATTGTTTACAAGCCGGTTAAGCGAATCTGCGAGCAGCGACCGTTATCAACGCGCGTCCGGGCGTATCTCAGAACACGAACTGACAACGACGACGTAGACCAACGGCAAGTGCGAACCTACTGCCGAAGCAGCGACGCCGACGCCGACGCCGACGTCAGCGTCACAGCATCCAACAGCAGCAGCATTAGCAGGCAGCAGCGGCAACTGCGGCGGCAACCGCAGCTGAGGCGAGCTAACCAAAATAGCGGCACACTCGCTTGGCGTCGGCTCAGGCATCGGGCCATGTGCCGAGATAACAAAAACAGAGAACGAAAACGAAAACGAAAACAGTGGAGAGTTTTTCGTTCTCTCACACTCTACACGCAGCCGGTAAACTTAACGGTACTCGCAGGCAAAATACAAAAAGTGTCATATTTTGTTTGAACTTTGAGTTGCTCTGGATAAATATATTTATGACACTCTATAAGCATTGGGAATAGGTTATGTGCTATCAATAATAGAAAATAATATAAATGTGTTATTTCTGATGCAATTTACAAATAAATAGCTTATGTGAGAAAGATTCTTAGTTCTTCATACATCTGTGAGTTTCCCTATATAAGTATGTATATATTTATTATTATATATATAATTATTATATTATTTATCGCACTTTAAAAGTCATAAGAATTGATAACAGGAACTTATATAAAATTATTTTCTATTTTCTGAAATTAAAAAGAAATCAATGTCTTTATTTTCTGTATATGAAACAAATTTTTACGTGAGAAAGCTCTTGAGTTTTTCATTAATATAACCATATTAATAAGGAGTTCCTTTCATATTTGAATCCGCACTTTTAATCCTTACACAAAACTATTTAACTTTATGCATTTATTTACTGTGCATGTTGATTCATACAATTTATATACCCAATTATGTTATCAGACTACAAGTTAAATTTGTCAACAAACTTTTATCATAGTTCTTATCATATTAATATCGTGCAGCATTGCCAACATAAGCTTTGAATCTAAAGCGCTTTGGGGAGAGTTCTCAAAGCTTTTGGGACAACGGTTATGAGCATTTCAATCTTGGTTCAAGCTTCAGCTTGAGCTTTGTGCTTTGGGACAGGGACAGGTGTGGTGCAAGCACCCAAGAAGAAAGCTTTTGAACGTTCCGTTTGAAATCACAAAAATAAGTTATTCCCAGGACATTGGCGAAAACAAATAATTATGTTGATATCAATGATATGTTTTATATGCTTTTATTCTATTTGAATATTCCTTTACATATAATGTTAAGGGCCTCGTAATAAAATTGAACAAGTATCTAATGAATATCTGATATACAAAAAAAGGTCAAGTCAAATGGAAGGCGAGGGAAATAAATAATTATAATTGAATTGCTCACTTGAATGCGAAGAAGAATCGACAAATAAATGTACAAGAATGGAATATTGAAATGAAAAGTGAAGAAAAAGACGCATTTACAATAATTGCCTCAAATGGGAGAATGCGTAATTATAATAGAAATGGGGAAACCGATGTTGATGATGATGACGTTGCATGGACAGCAACCCAGGCGGGCAACAGCAACAAAACAAACAATCAAACCAGCAGATGCCATGCCACACTCGAAAAACGCGCCGCAGTCTCAACTGATGTGCGGGGGAGACAAAGATAGAGGGGGCGGCGGAGGGTAAGGTGGAGACAGTGATGCATGCGCTGGTGTTGATGATAAGTGCCCGGGGACAAACAAGCAATCGGGAGTGGGGGGTTGTATATTTTTGTGTGTGGCATACAACCCATTTGCAGCTGCAATGGCTGCAATTCGGATTGCAAATGCAATTGAGACACTAAGTGGTCGGGAGTTGCTCGAGAGTTGGCCGAGCATTGGGAACACGCTCCTCTATACTTCCCACTTCCCTCCCTACCCCTCTCCTCCTGAGATCAGTGCCTTGGCCTGGTCATCAAAGCGGGCAACAAAGTAAGCAAATTCGAGTGGATCCCCATCACCATCCCCATCCTCATACCCATTGATGGAGCCAGCACTTGAGCCCTGATCTGATATCATAAACTGCTTGCATGTTTCATGGTCATTCACAGCAGAGGAAAAGTGCTCGGGGAAAATGAACTGATAAGGGCATAAAAGAGAGCCACATCAAATGCGGGCCAATTATAGAACAGAGCACATAAATACATACACACATATGTGAGGGAAAACTCTTTCGGAAAATTGCAATCATTTTGTTTATGGCTCATCGATTGGACCGAAATCAAAGTGTAGCCCAACGAAAGAAATTGATGCATAGATCACGTATCTTATAGTAAAATAGAGCTATATATAAACAAAACAAAGTACGAACATCTTAAAAAAGCCATTGAGTTAGCCTTGATTTGGAAACATATTAAAAAACTCTGATTTAGTATTAATATAGAGGTGGAAAAATAATTTGGGATTGCTTAATAAAAAATATTATATTTAAGCTAAAATATTCCAAATAGCTTTTTGATATTTTCAAGTTAAAAATAATCTGAGTTTTCTAAAATGATTTTATTTTTTAAATATCGATTCTTGGTTTTTGTTTAATAACTTAATGTTAATATCCAAAATCCTTGCAGTTAAAAATATTAAGTTTCTGGTAATAGTTGGTTTGAGAACAGTAGAAAATAGAAAATGGACTTAAGGGGAGTCCTATTCAGGTGACGACTTTATACTAAAGTTTTGTATAATAAAAGAAATATAATTTTAGTGTATATTATTCCAGATCCTCTCGTTTACTATATATTTACTAGATATTTTAAATTTTTTGCATATCATATTATTTGTTCACTAAATATTCTATACAAATATGTGGTTGATTTGACTATTTTGTTCACTAATATGACATGAGTAATTCAAAAATACATTTAAACAAAGAAATATCAATATAACACTCGAAGCAAACATAATTTCGAGTGCATTTTGAGGTAGTTCAACCACTGTGCACATCTTCTGCTTACAATATCACTCGCAGATGAGCTGGGTTAATGCCCCTCAGAGGAAACTGAAGAAAGCACTTGGCAGTGCATAAATCTGTGCCTTGAGTGCAGGTTAATTGTTCAACAAAGGCAGCGGTGTTTTCAAAGGGGTTCAAGAGGGGGTCACAAGAAAGAAAAACGTCTCGACTCACCTTGAACATGAGGGGATTGCGTTCAATGTCCGATTCGGCGTTCTCACAAAGTGTTTCCGTTTCCGAGAGAAAAGCGAGGAACTGTAAGACACATTTCGATTAGATAAGTACATAAATTAATCTGATCTGATCTGATCTTACTAACCTGGTCCATGGCCCGATCAAACATTTGTAGACTATGCACTGCGGCATGAAGCTGCTTGCCGCGATTGACGACACCATTATTCAAGTTGGAGTAGCTGCAAGTAATATGTGATGAAATATATTAGCGTAATTAGAAAAGATTTAAGCAATTACGAAAAAAATTAAAGAAATTACAAAGGACTTGGTTATTTGATTGATAAAGCTATATAGTATAAGCTGTCATATTCTTAATTTCAGTCAGTTTTTCATAATACTTGGCAAGTGAATCTTTACAATTTTAAATGCAGATGAATAGAATCAAGAAGCATCACTTTAATATATTCTTTGCAAAGCTACATTTTGTTTAAATTTGTAAAGAAGTCTGTAATCAATAAGCAAAGAGCAGTTAGCAATTTTCGGCCGATTTGCAATAAGTTTCTTGTTATGTCGTATGTAAACTACATTAAATCTATTTATTTGCATCTCTAAAACTAAAAAACATATTTTTGGATTCAAGCTTTAAGATGAAGATCGTATAATTACAGATAGAAGTGTACAAATATAATCGCTTCTATTTGGAAAACTGTACATTCAAAGCTATGTATATAAGCTAAGCTATATATATAATATTTATGCTATAGTCTGTAGTCTTTGGTCTACTCTTGAACTAAATCATAATTGTATATATTATATTTATAGTGAAAGCGAGGATTCTATTCCTGGTAAACCTCGTAGGAACTTTGACCATTTGTACTGTCTTCCTGCACAACTTATTACCCACAATCAGGTTCGTGTCATTTCAATGCCTTAGTTATTAGATAAAACTCTCTCTTTCTTTAATTCAATTTTAAATAATATCTCAAGAAACCCCTGAGTGTGGTTAACTGTGGTTGATATTCAGAGATTTGCATATATTTTCTTTATTTTATGTTTCACTCTTTTAATGTCTCTCTGTCTTTCTCTCTGATTCTTAACGATTTTACTTTTATTATTATTAACGCTACTGACGCTTAACAATTTTTGACGTGATTGGGTTTGTTCTGGGTTCCCCAATTATTGAAAATAAATTGTACTACTTATTTACTACTATTTTATTTTATTTAATTTTCATTTTAAATTTGTAATTTAATTTGACGCTTTTGATTTAATTTTATTTAATTTGTAACTTTCATTTTGAGTTCAAATAAAATTTGTATTTTAACTGAAACCTTTTTTGAATTGTATTTAGTGCATTATTACACTGTGCGTAATTTATTTAAAACATCCAAGTAATTATTAGGTCAGAAACTAGACAAATAATGTTTTGGAAATCAACAAAATCTTAGTTTTGCAAGAAAATAATCTTATTTGTAATATTTATCCAATGTTTTGAAAGTCAAAAAATCAACATTAAATAAAGCGAGTTCATTTCACTATTTACCATTTTGGACCTATTTAAAAGAGTTCTCATCTTGAACTGCTCTATTATCTAAGATTATTAAACCGGCTTAATGAGCTCAAAGTCGCCGCCTTAAACTGCAACTCATTAAATCGCGTTAAATGCAAATTCTCACAACTGATTAGAAGGGAGAATGGCTCATCTTTTTGCATAGCATTTAAATGGGGTCCGGCTGAAGTCGTAGCACGATTGAAATATACACTCACCGCTGATTAATGGCCTCCGTCATCTTCTTGATGCGGGAAGTGTCATCATTGGGATAGACTGCAATTAGTTTCTGTGTCAACTCGCTGAAGAGCTCAAAGTGCTGCTTATTCTGATGCAGCTCGGCGTGGAAGGACTGCATAGGAAATAGATTAATTAGATGCTCTCCATAACGAGAACTCAAAACAACAGAGCACAGCTCACCTTCTGCTCCTTCTGCTGGGCCTCCAGTATATCAGCTGTGGTGGCAATTGTGCCCATCCGCTCGGCCCTCTGCTCCATACGCGCCAGCCACTTCTCCAGCTCCAGGCGCTTGGCCTCAAACCTGCCAATGGGAATTCAGCATTAATTAAATTGACCCCAAGTGCAGTGGGACCTGGATCAGGTGGATGGATAACCTACCGCTGTGAGTCGCTCAGCATGTTCTTCAACTGGCCAGCTCGCTGCAAGACGCACTGCGACGTCTCATCCCAATGCTCTCTCAGACGGGTCACTGTGAATTTTTCGAACAGAGAAGAGTTCAATTAGCTTTACAAATATGTATATTACTGAGTGAGCTTTGAGGTTATTTTATTAGCTAAAAAAAGATAGCGAATTAGAACTGGGTGACACAAAATTAGCTGGAGTTTCTCTAGTGTTGGGCAACCAATGGAACCGGTAACCCATTCAACATTTATTGATCAGTTGTAAGTTTATAAAACGCCATGCAAAGACATTAGTACAAAAAAAAAAAAAAGAAAAAAAACAATGTTTCAGTTTCAGTTCTGGGTAAGTATTGCTTGTGTTTGTGTGTGGGGTAGTCTCAATTATTCTCATATTAGTTGGGCCCCAGTCTGGTGTCCATTGGGGCTGTTAACTATTGCACAACTGGGTTAGCATTACACAAACTGGAGTCGTAGTCGTTACCTTTGAGAAAGCAACGCAAATAGTCTAAATCAGCTGAACAATGCGGTGCTATCGAGAACTGTTTTAATTCTATCAGAGAAGTGAAAAAGTAATAATTAAATATAAAAATAATAATATCTGTTCAAAATACGCAATAATAATATATTATAATATAAAATAAATATTACATCTAAATACGATTTCAATTTCTGTCTGCCCAATAAAAAATACGTAATATATTTAACCCTTTGAGTATCCAATTGAATGGATTGAGTGGTATATTTATACACTCAAGTAAAAATATTATTATTATATTATTGTTTAAATATTAAATCAGTAGTAAGTCCAGTATATATCCGCAACATGTAAATTTTCGCTGGATTACCCCCTTTATACTGACACTCGGTATTTACTTTATAGTATTATGCCCATACACAGAGAGAACCATCCTTATTAAATCTGTCGTTATTCTTTTTTAAACGTTGGCTGGAATTGATCGCTTTAGTCAGTCATAAAGCCAATTCACATTCCTTTTTCAACCAGCAAATTTGTTTTTGTGTGTAAACTTGAATTAGTGTCCTTGTCAAAAAAAACACGGCAAGGCACTATTTGTTTATAAATTTATAAGAGGTGAAAGATTAATTCGACAAATGAAGAGAACCCCCCAGAAGGTATTGTCGCTCGTGCTCTTACTTATATTAATAATTGTAATATTATTTTTTAATAAATAACTCCATTTGTATTGCAACACAACGTTGTAAAAAAGAATCAATCAACTCTTGGAATCTTTGGCAGTGTTGCTCTTGACGCTTAGATTGAGAGAACTCAAGCTTTCAAATTGTATAAATAGTACCCCATAAATTAATAACAAAATTCAATAAAATAAATAAAAAATAAATTCTACAATTTATTTTAACATAACTTCTTAAAATCAATTCATTCATTCAGCTAAGAAATTTAAAAAAAAGGGCAACATTTTTGAGTTATTTATTTTTTAATATTTATAAAAAAAGGTTGACATAAAGCACAAAATTAAAAAAAAAGGAAAGAAATTCACAAAATATTTCACTTTTTAAAACATTATTTATAAGAAGCGGTTTGCCATTCAGCCTGCTGCACGAATCGCAGCTTGGACCAAAGTATAAATCACATTTAATAAATACAAACAAAAACAGAGCAGAAATATGTGTAGATTTTTAAAATTAAAAAATCCGGCGGCTTTAATATCGATACAGAATTAGCAAATATATTAAGTCTATAAATAACAACAAAAAAAACACATTTAAAAAAAATTTGAATATATTTTCAGATAATAACAATTTTCATACAGCAATTTTGATAGTTATAAAAAAATTTATTTAAGAATAGTTTTGAATATATCTAAATATTAGCTCAATAATTGGGTAAAGAACGATTATGGAAATCATAGCGAAATCTTTTTATTTACTTTAATCTAGTCAAAATGGACAAAAACTAACTTTAAATAAAGCAATCTCATGTTAATACTTAACAACACACAGTAATAACACTCTAAAAACTAGCAAGTAAGGATTGGTTATGTTAAGCAAGTCTGCAATCTGCGATTCACATTTTTCGTGGAATGTCCATATAAAATAAAATGATATTTACCAAGCTGAAATTTACCCAAACTAGCAGAAATAATAATTTAATCATTTACGATGCAGCGCTTCGATTCAATTTCCCTGAGATTTCAAAATTTCAGAGAGTTAAGCATTAAGCCATATGCTGTGGCAACTAGATATATATGTTCTTTTTATTTGTAATGTAATTATATTTAAACCTTTTGTGACTAGCACAATAATTTATAAGACTCAAATAAAAAACCAATAAAATAAGTAATTAAAAAATAAATAATAATAATCAGATATGTCAATGAAGTTGCTTCAACTGCAAATCTGATCACTCTTCAAATCCTATGAAATAAAAATTGTATCCAGTTAAGGCTTAAACAATAAAACGAAGACAAAGCACTGCATTTACACAAAAGTTCTGATGTGAAAAATGTCCAATCACGAAATACACACTGAAGACTTAAGAAGTTAATCGAAGTCCAATCGAAGTCAACTATTCAGATGAAAGATCAAAGCACTCTTATTTCCTTACCCTGGATGCCTCCCGTCGGGTTCTGCGATATTTGGGTCTCATCATGCGAGGAGCGTCGGCGCATTCGCAGCTCCTCGCGGGATAAACCAGCGACGGTTGCAGCGCCAATGGCAATGCCAATGCCGACACCCGCACCACCGGCGACCTGAGCGGCAGCAGTAGCAGCGGCCGCAGCTGCCCGTGACTGAGCCTGATGCTGCAACAGTGCGGCAGCTGCCGCCGAGCCGGGCAACTGGCCCATGTTGTGCACCACCTGCGGCGGAATGTTACCCAGCAGTTGCTGGCGGATCTGTTCGCGAAACTCGCTGCTCAGCGGAATGGGTGGCTGGGGCGACTGCTGCTGCTGCTGCTGCTGCTGTTGGGCGGACGACGCTGCAACACCACCACCACTCGGCAGATGATGCCCCGCCGAATTCAGATTGTTTTGCATGCGATGCCTACTATACTGCAGCTCCAGCGGCAGATTGCGGTCCAGCGAACGCATATGATGCTCAATAGTGGAGCGCATCGATTGCTCCACCTGCGAGGCGGAGGCGGAGGCCGAGGAGACAGACGACGAGGATGAGTTGCTGTGCAGCGACTGCTGCTGTGCCTGGGCGCGCAGCTGCTTCAGCTCCTCCAGCGACTGTCGGGAGTCACCCGCTCGACTCTCGTCCAGCGATAAATTGCGCTCATAGTTGGCGCTACGCAAATTAACGGAGCTGCCCAAATGACGACCATGTCCGCCTCCAGCTGCCAAGCTCGCCTTGAAACTCAGATCAAAGTTATTCTGCACGGCAGCCTCCAGGGTGCGCAGATTCATCTGCTCCTGCATGGCGCGCTCCATGTTGCGCAGTCCACTCTCAATGCCACGCAGCGCATCCTCCGATCCGAACTCATCCGTGGGCGAGGCTACAACCGGAGCGGGAGCAGCAACTGGACGCATATTGTTCAGCTTTTTGGCTTCGCTGGCTCTTGTCGGTGCTGGCGACGGCACCGGATTGCAATTGGCCAGCGCATTCTTGGAGCTCTGCTCGCTGAGGGCGGCCACAGCAGATTGCAACACCAGCGGTGGTGGTGGCGGTGGCATCTCAAACGGATTCGAGCAGCGACGTGCGGCCATCGCCTCTGCGGACAGCGTTGAATGCTTTTCGGGCGGCGGCGGTGGTTTCTCCTTGAACTTGAGCACGGCCAGCGGCGAATTCTGGGCACTATTCTGTGCGGAGGTCTGGGCGGATGCCGGTTTCCGGGGCAGTGGCGGTGGTTGACGCAGTGGAGGTGGCAACCCAGGGACAATCATCATTGTCTGTCCGTTATCTGGCAGACTTTTGAGACTGTGCCGCTTGGGCGGTATTTCCGGTGGTGCGGCACGTTCGCTGGAGCCGCGTGCCGGTATCGCGGGCACCGGTCGACTCTGCAGCGGTGGCAACGGTAGTGGTGGCGCCACCTTTTGCCCGTTCAGCTGCTGTTGCTGCTGCTGCTGCTCCTGGGAGCACTGTTTGCGCAACAGTTGCTGGCCACGCAATGCGGCCTGGGCAGCCAGCTCGGAGTTGAGGCGTGGCATCATCAGCTGTGGCGCAATTTTGGGCGTTGTGGCATCATCATGGGGCACCGTTGGCGGCACCGTTGGTGGCACCGGAGGCGGCGGCTTGGCAGTCATCGCAGCTGGTTGCTGTTGCTGATTGTTTTGTGCGTGGCGTTGTGCGTTCGTTGCAACAATTTTGTGGGCAGTAATTTTTTTATTTTTTTATTTTGTTTGGGGCAGGCTTTGGACTTAAGTTTATTTTATGTGCGGCATCACGTTCGCTTTCCGATATGTTTGATATGTTGCATGGTCTACGGCGACTATGAAAAAAAAAAAAAAACAACAGCGCCTGAATGTTGACATTGGTAAATGATAAACATCATGTGCAACAACTGCAACACCAGCAACGGCAGTAACTTCAGCGGTGTCTGCTGACTCCTCGTGGCTTGTGCCGCGGATCTAGTTTTGTTTATGCAGCGTGCCGGAAACTCAACACACCAACAGGCCACAGGCAAACACACTCACACACTCACACACACACACACAGACACACAGACACATACAAAGCACACTCAGACAAACGTGAAGAGTAAACAAACTTCGACGTAAGAGAGCTTCGGCTCTCTCATGCATACAATCCTCCCACAACTGCACAACCGCTCACACACACACACAGTAAGTACACACAGGCAAGCACAAAGAGTAAGTAAGCTTTGAATTAAGAGCTCCTTCGCCATGCGCTCTCTCATTTACTCCCTACCACACCTGAACCTCTCCCTTGTTATCGCTCTCTGTTGATTTTCGCTCTCTCGCACACTTTTTTCACCACACTTTTTGCCTTGCTCTGCGCCGGCTGTTAACGCACAGGAGACGTTTTTTTTTTTTTTTTTGTTTGTTGGTTATCTGTGAAATCGTTGCACACTTTTGCCGCTGTTTTGCTTTGCTGTCAGCTTCGGTGCACAGTGGGCATCAGTTGTGAGGGATTTTGCACTTTTTTGAGCCTTTATTGCAATGATTTTTATCGATTTGTTACCGTTATTATTTGGTTTGTTGGTCCAATTGATTCTGTTCACTTGTGTTATAAGCATTTAATCCACTATTCAATTGAAAACGTTTTCGATTTAAATATTTTCCACTTTTGAATTTTCTGAATTTGTTTACTATTATCATTTTAATTGTTGGCATAATTGATTTTAGTTCACGACACCCTATTGAGTTTTTATACTTTAACCCTATTATTCACAATTCAATTAAAAATGTTTATTTTTGCAGAATTTTTCAGTTTTTTGAGAATTTATCACAACAGTTTTTATCGATTTGTTTACTAAAATGATTTGAATTGTAATCTTAGTTTAGTTTAGTTTTATACATGTTATACACTAGTCAATTTAAACTGTTTTTTTTTTTATTACTTTTGCTGTAAAAATAGTTTTATCGATTTGGTTACTATTATCACTTTAAA